CCCAGCCATTCTGGGAGGCAGGTGCTGCTGCCCATTGCACAGATGGGGAAATTAAGGTCTCAGCAAGAGAGGGCAATGGAGTCAGCATTCCGTAAGGTTGTCACTTACTCCACTTCATTTACTCCATCTACTCACCTGCTATCCATCTTCCACTGGGCTCCCCCACATCCTCTGTGGATGCCAAGGGTGATGGGGATTTGAAGACCCAGAAGGTGCAAGGCCCGGGCCTCCCCACAATCTTGGTGAATCATGGTGAGAATATAAAAAATCTGCCCCCCCTGAGGTAGACATCTGCTTTCCCTTCTCCCAGACCTGGAGGGGGTAAGGGAGGGTCAGGGAACATGAAGAGGCAGAGATTTGGTAGCTAGTAGATGCCAAGTCTGTGGCCAGTACGGAGGTGAGCTGTGAGGGCCTCTCTAGCTTCAAGAGGGCCTCTTGAAAAGACTGTGAGGACTGGGGTCAGCTGTGGCTTCCTGTAGCCCAAGGAGCAACGGGAAAGGAGGCACTGCCAGCGCCCAAGGGCGTAGCCTCCTTCTCATCCCCTGCCATTGTTTAGTGCCACATAAACCCAGGTTTCCTATAGCTCCCTCATATTTGGAGGCTAAATTTTTTAAATTGAACTATAGTTGATTTATAATATTGTGTTAGTTTCAGGTGTACAGCAATATGATTCAGGTATATATATTTTTTTCAGGTTATTTTCCATTATAGATTATTACAAGATATAGAATATAGTTCCCTGTGTCATACATTAAGTCCTTGTTGCTTATCTATTTTATGTGTAGTTGTATCTGTTAATCTCATGCTCCTAATTTGTTCACCCTGCCTTCTCTCCCCTTTGGGAACCCTAAGTTTGTTTTCTGTGTCTGTGAGTCTGTTTCTGTTTTGTATATAGATTCATTTGTATTATTTTTCAGATTCCACATATAAGTGATAACCATATAGTATTTGTCTTTCTCTGTCTTGACTTAACTTCACTTAGTATGATCATCTCTAGGTCCATCCACATTGCTGCCAATGGCAATAGTTTGTTCTTTTTTAATGGCTGAGCAATATTATATATGTATCATATCTTCCTAAACCAATTGTCTGTTGATGGGCATCTGGGTTGCTTCCATGTCTTGGCTATTGTAAATAGTGCTGCTATGAACACTGGGGTGATGTATCTTTTCAAATTAGAATTTTCGTCCTTTCTGGATATGTGCCTAGGAGTGGAATTGCTGGATCATATGATAGCTCTATTTTTAATTTTTAAAGGAGCTGCCATACAGTTTTTCATAGTGGCTGCACCAATTTGCACTCCCACCAACAGTGTAGGTGGAGTCTACATTTTTTTTGGAGAAATAGAGGAATGTGATATTCCTTGAATTTGATATTGTTGCCTGAAGCACAGGGCTGACGGACAATATGGTCATGTGGCTCGTGTAGTCACCCAGAGCCTCACGCTTAGAAGAGCCCTGCTCTTGATTTGATGTTCTGCTGTCATCATCTTGAAACTCTCAATTTCTGAACAAGGAGCCCCACACTATCATTTTTGCCCTCATGTGTGAATTATGTAGCTGGTCCTGCAAAAATGCATGCCCGCTGCATCCCCACTTAGCAGAAGTTTCCAAGTCTTACATCATTAGGAAAAATCCTCACTGAAGGTTGGAGTGATTAAAGAGGTTGCCAACAGGCCAGACCCACTCTATGCCCACGCAGTGTGCCCACCTTACATTTGCTCACGCAGTTATATTTCTATAAGCAATTAACATTCACCAAAGTGTTGGTTACCCACGTCTGAAAACAGAACTAAATATAAACTTAATATATATTATTATAAAATTAAATGTGAAAACCATGGTGGCACATAGAAATGAGAGCCAAGATGAAAGTGAAGCTGCAGGGGGCTGGGACATTTCGGGGTGGATTTCAATGGAGAGGGCTTGAAAGTGCCAGAGAGGCCTGAATGGTAACACGTGTGTCCCAAGCATCCCAGCCTGTTCCCAGTCCGCCTAGTGCTGACAGTTTGGAGCATTTCTCCCGGCAGAGCTCCTCTTGTTCTGTGGCATTTCATTTGCGCAGATCTTCGGAAGTTATATATCAGTGTGGGGTCTTTGTATATGTTTGGAACTGAATAATCTACTTTTGAAGCTGTCAGATCCTGACATTTAGAATGTCTCGGCAATTGGTTCCCAGTTCTTGGGACTTAATGTGACTTTTTTAAGGAGCGAGGACACTTTTTTCCCAAGGTTCTGAAATTCACACTTCTCCGGCCTGAGGCTTCCAGAAGCCCTTGTAGTCTCCTGAGTGTATGTAGGTGCTGGACAGAAACGTACCCAGGAATGAGGGGTATGGGGTGATGGATGCGACCAGGAGCTGGAAGACCGGGCGCGGTGTCCCTATGACACGGGCTCCTCCACGCCTTCGCTCCCCACCCTCCCTCACTATAGTCCACTTTCCTTGTAATTAACACAGACGTGCTCCCTCTGTTTTGTGACAGGTAGCATCAATCACTCACCAAGTATGTATTCAGGCACGCATCAAAGTGCTAAGAGGAGGGAGATGTTGTCAGTGCCTTCAAGCTAGATTTTAAGCGCTTACTGTATTTCAGGCGCTGCTCTAAGTGTTTCTTGGGAGTGATTCTGTCTGACTCTCAAAACTGCCTAGTGAAGCAGGCACTCATCTCCATGTAACAGGTGAGAAAAATGAGACTGTGAGACACCAAAGGAAACTGATGCAAGCCAGCAAGTGTTGGAGCCAGAATTCAAAACCCAGCTGAGCCCACTAGTATTACCCTACACGTGCTACCCAGCAAGCAGGGAGAAAGAGGCGGCTAATTATAACAAAACCTCCTGAGCAAGGGTGTGTGCTGACACCCAGTGAGAAATTTGGGGTGTCTGGGTGCGAGTGAGGCCAGGAGGCAGCATTGGCGAGATGGTAACGCCAAGCACTAGGGAGGCACTGGCACCGTTATACTCCCAGGCAGTGACCAGACAAGGATGGGGCCCCCTCTGGGGGCCCAGGGGCACAGGTGAGCAGTCAGTAAAGAGGGACCATTCTGAGCACCGCCCAGAGCGTGTCACTCAGACTGTCTTTTGGTCCAGCCCCCACCAAGGGCACTGGGGTAGCCTCTCCAGGAGAAGGTGCTATCACCTGAAGGAAAACCAGGTTCAAAGAAATATCTGGTTCACCATAAGCTTGAGGGAACCTGAGAGAGAGCCTGTTCTGCATTGTGCCCTAATGAGGAAATGTAAGGCAGGTGGGAAGAGTCTTTGCTCCAGGTAATAGACACAGCTGTCAGAACTAAACAGAGGACTGGTCCCATCCAATGCAAGAGAGGGAGTATCAGGGTGGACCTCAAGAAGCTGCCATTAAGGTAGGTAAAAAACAGTAGATTGTGGGGAATTGCACCAGTTAATTCTAATTCAACCCAGCCAGCAGAGTGTCGGCTGTGGCCAGGAGAAGGTAGGTTAACATAGTAGACAGGGAGCAGCCAGCACGGGGTGGGCAGACACGCTGGATCAGGGCAGAGGACAGAAGGGGCCTGAGATATTCAAGAGAGCCGTTGAGCCCAGAGGAAGGAGCTTGCTGTGGATGAAGCACTTCCCTGAGTAGGAGCTGGAGGCCAAGCCCTGTGTTCTGAGAATATCGTTCAAATCCTGTTCTGAGCTGGTGTGACCTGAGAATGCGGGTTATGCCGACAGACAGGCGGAGATGGCCAGGCTGGCAGTGTCTGCTGTCATGGGCAACCCATGGGCTGGGTGATCAGGGGAAGCTTCTTGGTGGAGATGGACGTTGAGTGAATCCTTCAAGGATGGGTGGGAGTTAACACAGGTGCAGAGAAGAAAAGAGGGTGAGAGCTGGAAAAAGCTATAGTTCAACAGATATTTTCAAACAGAAAGTCACAAAATATGGCTTGGTTCCTTTTTCGTTAAAATGTGTATGAACATATACATATGCATACAGACCCTCATATGCGTTCCTTGAATGATACATGGAAGAATATTTATTAAACTGTTAACTGTGTTGTCGTCATTGGGTGTTAACTTTCTTTGTCCTTATCTGTATTTTCTCATTGTTCTGCAGTAAGCATGTTTTACTCATGTAACATGTTTTAAAGGGTAAAAAATATAGGCTGCCCAAAGTCCTGTCAGTGTATAAACGCGCTGCGAGAGAAAGCTGCTATCTGAGTGTGTTGGGATTCTTCCAGGGTGTTACTGAAATAGTGAACCCCACAGGTTTTCCACAGCAACCAATATACATAACATAATAGCTTATGAGCATGTGCTCTGTAGGTTTTTTTTTAATTGAAGTATAATCAGTTTACAATGTTGTGTTAATTTCTGATGTACAGCATAGTATTTCAGTTATATATATTCCTTTTCATATTGTTTTTCACTATAGGCTATTACAAGATATTGGAGATAGTTCCCTGGGCTATACAGTAGGACCTTATTGTTTATCTATTTTATATATAGTAGTTAGTATCTGCAAATCTTGAACTTCTAATTTATCCCTTCCTGCCTCCTTTCCCTCCAGTAACCATAAGTTTGTTTTCTATGATTATGAGTTTGTTTCTGTTTTGTAAAGAATTTCATTTGTGTCAATTTTTCTAGATTCCACATATGAGTGTTATAGTAGTTTTCTTTCTCTTTCTGGCTTACTTAACTTAGTATGACGATCTGTAGGTCCATCTCTGTTGCTGCAAATGGCATTATTTCATTGAATTAATGACTGAGTAATATTCCATTGTATAGATACCACGACTTCTTTATCCAGTCATCTGTCAATGGACACTTAGGTTGTTTCCATGTCTCGGCAATTGTAAATAGTGCTACTATGAACATGGGGGGGTTGTATTTTTTCGAATTAGCACTCTGTAGATTTGATTCTATTGCCACAACTTGCTAGCTAGTAAAGTAGAATAATAACAGGACCTACCTCTGAGGCTCTTTTTGAGCACTCAGAAAATGTTATGATTGGCTCCTCTCTCCCTCACACACACACACACTCACACACACACATTCACACACAGTCTTCCTTGAACACAGCTCTCAACCATCCACATGAAGGTAGCGTAGACCAACCAGGGTTTCTCAGGCTTTATTATGCATATGAGTGGCCCAGGAATCTTGTTAAAATGCAGGTTCCAGCTCCAGAGGTCTGAGCTGGAGCCTGAGACTCTGTGTTTCTCACGAGCTCCAGATGATGTCACGCTGCTGATCCGTGGACCACGCTTTGAGATGTGAAGGTGGGAATGAGTTAATGTCCTTTTAGGACGGCCAGGAACAAGATGCTCTTAAATGTATTCCAATATTACCTGTCACGTGGATTCTTATCTCTCCCTGGCAGTCTTACGTCATCCTGTTCATCAGGAAACATAAACCCCTACTTCTGTGTGTAAGATCCTGTGCTGGATTCTGGGGAATCAAAGTCTCTGTTATAAAACAGAGCCCCTGCCTTAAGGAGCTTATATTCAACACCTAAACATAAAAATGTAGGCAGCCATCAGAAGAACCTATTCTGGGTGCCAAATGAGGGCCACAGACAGTGACTGAGAGCAGGACTCCAGGGTCTATTCTAAGTTCTGTAGAGAGCTTCAGTCCAAATGCTTTCTTTGAAATGTTGAGGAGTAACACATGCCCCAGATGCAGGACCGCATTAATACGTCTTAACTTTTAATGCAAGAGTCATGTCTCTGTATATAAATATAGGTTCCCCTAGGATATGTGAGGCTGTAGTGCATTGTTTTCATAGTCGCCAGACTTCCTCATTCCTCGTTAGCGGGGGAGCCGTGGCTGAGATACAGAAGTCATCTAGAACGTAAGTACATGGGCTTGCGGCCACCCCACACCATCGTCGCCATTGTTTAAGGAATGGGTTTGCCTCATTCAGCTGCCTTTTGTGGGGTTTTCAGCTCCTACTTGAAGACTAGTATTTGCTTATGGAAACAGTGACACCAAATTAGTGTAGGTGGTGCTCAGGGCCAGGAATAAACACAAAATAGTCCAGCAGCCGGGGTGAGTTATTATTAGGCCTTGGAGTTGCCCGTTGGTGCAAGGCCCCCACCTAAGCCCTCGGTTTTGCATGGGGCAGTCTGCCAGGTGGGGTGGGGGTGGGGTGGCACGCTTGGGAGCAAATGTCCAAGGTGTCTTCGAATACACCAGCCCTGCTGAAACAGGACGTAGTCTGCCCGCAGGAGCAGTGGGGAAGAAAAGAGAGGGGACCTCGTGGGGTACATTGAGGTAAGTGATGATTATTAGCATGTTTTCTTGAGTGGTATTGCCTTAGGAAGCAAGAACTGGTTTTGGAGATAAGGAATTTTGATCAGGCAGGGACACTTTGGAATGGGAACTCTGAGAAAATGAGGCTCTCTGGGGATCCTTGGGATTGAGCAGAGGTGAAGTTGGCAGGAACTGGCATGGGAAACTGGGGGGCCCAGGACCCTTTAGACCCCACCCGTGGGGAGGGGATGTGTAAACAAGACTGCTCAGTCATATCAGCTCTTTTTTATCAGGTGCTAATTATATTCTAGGCATCATATCCTTTGATTCTCCCAATAAACCTTCTGACCTGGAGAGCGGGGTTGCTTCCTTCCATCCTGCAGACCTGGAAACTGAGACTTGGGAAGCGCAAGAACTTGCCAAAGCCGTAATAGAGTGATGGAGAGAGATGAGTCTGTTCTGACTCCAGAAGCTGCTTTCTTAAACACCACTCTGTGTCCTCAAAGAAAAAAACTGAAGCACAACGTAAGAGTTCGAATGCATTCTGCTAAAAGTGTTAGCTATCACGACAGCCATGAAACACACACAGCCATCAGATCAGGGCCCGGGGAGACCTGGAGTGTGGCCAGGCTCCATCTGCCTGCTTTCACCTGGTGAAGGCAGTAAAGTCATAGTCCTGGAGGCCAGGCTCAGGATATCACCTCCTCACAGGGCTCCTCCCAGGGCTCTGGGCCTGTGCTGAACCTCATGGCAACGTTGAGGCCCAAACCCTTCCTGGACAGTTAAGGGAGACAGAGGCAGGGCAGTGTTGAGGGTGTCCTCAGAGTCACCCAGCCAGTAAGGGGCCAAGCCTTTGGCTACAGACTTCAGCTCTTGACTCCTGTGCTCTCCTGTGTGCTGGCCAGAGGCCTGGCGGCTGCAGGTGAGCATGAGAACCACCTGAGGACCAGGACTATGTCCAGGACAGTGTCAGAGGCTCCTTGATTGTGGCCTTTGACAAGGCTGAGGGAGGACTGAGGCCAGAAGAACCCTCAGCCAAATTTACGACTATTTAACCACACGTCCAGGGCCACTGTCTCCCTTTCAGTGCCTAGGACGTTCATCTTGACCTCTGGCCCCCCAGTGGGGTTTGCCACTGCACCGCTCACCTGTGCACAAGGCCCACAGTATCACGGGGTGATCCCCTTGTTCCAAACACCCGGCCTTTAGTGAGGGCAGGGGAGGCTGGCAGGGCCCTCTGACCTGGGGCCCCAGCTCGAGGGTGAAGTTGAGTGAGGATGAGGCAGCCTCGCAAATGCTGGTTTCTCCCTTAAATTTTGTCCTCTAAGTCTTTCCACAGGGATTGAAAACTCAGAGAAGACGAAAAGAAAATAAATTCTCAGCAGAAAGCATAAATGGAAAACCAGTCCTGGTTCTAATGGCATCAGGACCTGACAGGGAAAGAGGCTCCGATTCCACAATCCAGGGCATAGTCTGGATGAGGTGTGCAGCCTGGTAAGGATGACGGGTGTGGAAACAGTGCTGTGCAAACTCTGAAGTGACGCTTGCATGTGGGTTGCTGTTTTAATTACATAAAATACATGTCTTAGGAAATATCCAAGAGATGCTGCTCAGGAATTGGGGCAGATTAAAAGTGAAATCTGGGATCATGTAAGCCATTCAGGAACCCCAAATCATGCGGGGCCTTCATTTTTCACCCCAGTCACAGGTTGCTGGTTTGAGGCCCAACTTCTAGATTTCCTTTTATTTCTTTCCAGAAGACATACCCATCTCCCTACTGTCCTCTGTCACCTCTGCACTTCTCCACCCCCTGGCCTGTGACATATGTCTGTGCAGTTTGTCCCCAGCAAGCTGCAGGAGGAGCCATTCACATCAAAGTCTATGTGAGTCAGACCACAGGTTTGTAAACTTGGCTGCACACCGGAATCACTCGGGGGACTTAAAGGTAATTGATGTCTTGTTCCCTCCTTCAGAGTCTGATTTAATTGGTCTGTGGTGCAATCTGGGCACTGGGATTTTTTTAAGCTGCTCAGTTGATTCTAATATGCAGTCATCTTTGAGAACGCCTGAATCAGACTATGTTGTGAATGACGTCCCCTTGGGATGTGTGGTATACAACCTACCCGCACTTCAGATTGGCCCTGCTCACCCCCATATGTGATCTTCAATGACCTGAACTTGCTAGTAGGAGACATCACTGATGAAATACATACTTTTCTTCCTTTTGAGTCTGATTTTCCCTGGGGTTGGGATTGAGGTTAAGGAGAACATAGGTACTGACCTCTGAGCCTTTGAAGGCTCTCTTACACTTCCTGCATCCTTCTGAGAGACGCAGGAGAGGCAGGGGTCTAATCCCACTGAAAACCGGGTATTTTGCAAGCCTGGTTTTGGAGGCTGCCCAGCTCTGGTGCTCCGCCCAGGGTGAGCATGCTGTTTTGATCGCCTGGCTGAGAGAGTGATTTAGGCCCTCGGAAGAATCTGGCTTATTTCCCCTGGTGCCTAGGTCATTCCCTGATTATAAATCAGCCACTGTTAGCAGCTGCATTTCACTTTCCCAGGCCTCAAGGGAACTGTGCAGTTTTTACTGAATTAGCAACTTAATTGCACTAAATATAGCTCTAATGTCCCAAAGAAGTTGTGGCAGCTCCCAGAGGTGTCTGGCTTCCCACATTACCCGACCCCCACCCCACACCCCACCGCCCTAAACTCAGGGAGCAAGTTAAACTCTGAACAATTTGAGTTTATTAAGTCACAGCTTCTGGAATAAACTCACTTTGTTTTGCATATGTCAATAGCATCAAATCCTGCCATCGAAATTTAATGTCACTGTTTCCATAACAACTAATGTCCTTCAAATGAGACGATGGGGAAGACCAAAAATCCCACAGAAACCTGGAGAAATGAGGCAAATATGTGACACAAGCCAAGTCCTTCGGGTCGAGGTTCAATCAAAGGCTTGCCTATTTTACAACTTAGATGCTCTGTAACTCACTGATGCTCCCCCGCTGATGAGTGCATCTGTCATTCTAAAATTACTAGTCTAACTTCTTTGGCTAAAACCTTGCATCTGGCATGTGTATTTATGCTTGGCATTTCAAAGTTAATATTTTTGGTTCAGCAGAGGGATTTAAAACAAACATTTTCTGAAAAGTTCCAAATTCTTGAGTAGATATTTGAATCTAAACTAAAGAGAGAGAGAGAGGGAACCAAGTATGGAAGAGGCTGCTAGTTGCTTACCCAACGTCTAGTCTACTTGTTTCCCTTTGTAATAGAACAACAGTAATTTTTAAAAACTACATTTCCCTGACTCCTTTGCAGCATGGTATGGCCACAGGACCAAATTCTGGTCAAAGAGGTAGAAGTGGAAGTAAGACATGGAACTTCCAAGAAGGCTTTCTCTAAAAGAGTTGAGTCAGGTGTGAGGTGTGCCGTTTTATCTTTTCTTTTTATCTTTCCTTCTGGGATAGAGACATAATGCTGGAGCTTCGGCAGCCATCAGGGATCACAAGACAATTGAAGAGGAAAGCCAGGTGCTGAATGAAGATGGCAGAAGAATTGGCCACTGATGGGAGGCATCAGTCCTGGACTACCTACCTTCAGATTTTTTTGTATGTGAGAGAAATAAATTCATCTTGTTTAAGTCAAAGTTATTTGAGGGGTTTCGTCATATGAAAACAGATCTAATCCTAAGTGATATCTGAGGATAGGGTAAAATTAATTTAAAAAGTCATCTCTTATATTATGTCAGCACATCTTTTGCCCATTTTAGTCCATCTACTAGAGTGAGCAGCATTAGTCAAAAACATGGACATAACTATTTCTTGTGTTCAGCAAAGTTAAGCATTATGCCTAAGGTTGCCCAGCCAATAAGTGGCAGAGGCAGTCTTCTAATCCAGCCAAGGCTTTTACTTGAAACTGCTTTCCCTGTCAGGGGAGCATGAATTAATAACTAACTATAGAGTTTATAGTTTTTAATCAACAATATTATCATGTTTAATCCTCAGCAGGCCATGCAGTGATCAGGTCTTGCCTGAATCCATCCCAAACCCAAGGAGCCTGGGAGGGATTTGCTTACTGCAAAGATGCTGTCCCTCCTGGAATCTCCTGGCCTTTGTGAATCAGGCTTCTGTATATCTCTCCTTCATCCACTTCCCACCTATGATGCCCCTGTAGATGGTGATAGACTGTGTAACAGGAGGGAAGAGACTATTGAGATTTCACAGAAAGTTGCCTTTGCTTGGAGGATTTTAGTTACAGATAGTTCCATGGACAAGGTTTGTCGGCCTCCTACAACTAGACTTCCAAATCCAGCCAGTTACTATGTTGATAATGTAGCAGGAGAGAGCCTTCAGCAACTGAAGTAACTAATCAGGGATATGTCAGCCCATCAAAATTAAGGAGAGGGAAGAGAGAAGCCTCTTTGTTTATTCGGGACATTCTGATTCAGTGAGTGTGGGTGACAATGACATTTATTCAAGACAACTTTAAGTCATGTCCTGGAAATACCAGTTAAGTGACAAGCTGTCTGCTTCTCTCTCCAGACCGAGAATAGTCTGTTATCCTAACGTGGGGCCCACAGCAGAGCAGTGAGGGCAGTGCTGGGTCCTGAAGTAAGGTGGTTCCCTCCAGGGACCACAAGGGCTCCTCAGTGCCTGGCCCACTGCCTGCCAGTAGGATGGGCTCCTCAATGTTCATTGCTCAAGGAGCTGAATGAATTTCTGAGTGCCTAGAATACCAACCCCAAATAAGGCTTTTTCAGCATCACACCTTAAGGCAGTGGTTGACATGGAATAAAGCCCAATCTTAGAAATACCTGTGAAATAAATAAATAATCCCCATAAAAATGGGTCTTTTGTAGCTGATCTTAGCACATTGTCACAGAATTAGGTTTTGCTACATATAACAGAAAAACTGAAATAATAGTGGCTTAAACAAGATTTCAAAGTTTATTTCTCTCCCATTTAAAAGAACTCTAATAATCTAAAAAAAAAAAAGGACTCTAAAGTAATAGTCATGCAGCATCATGGCCATGGGCAGCCTAGCCTTCTTCTAGCTTCCTGCTCCGTCTTTGCAACAAGTAGCCTGCATCCTCAAGGTGACCTCATGGTGTAAGGTAGCTGCTGAAGCTTCTGGGGTCATACACAAGCGGTGGACTTCAAGGATGAAAAACAGAAAGTCAGAAACAGAATTTCCCCAGCTATCTGTTCTCTAGGCAGTCTTCGAGGAAGCCCCTTCCAAAAACTTCTGCTTATATCCAGTTAGCCAGAACTTAGTCATATGGCCAAACCTGGCTGCAAAGGAGGCTTGAAAGTGTAGTCTTTGAACTGGGCACACTGCCACCTCTCCCAACCCCCCCAGTATGTTGAATGTTATATAGGCCAGCAGTTCTCAATCTTTTTGATCTTGAAAACCTTTTATACCCATAAAATTTATTGAGGAACTCAAAGAACTTTTGTTTATGTAATACCTTTTAGTATTTACCATGTACCACATTAGAAATTAAAACCAAAAGAGGATAAAATATTTGTTTATTCATTTAAAAATGATAATACATATACCAAATCATCACACTGTACACTGTAAATATCTTACAATTTTATTTGTGAATTATCCCTCAGTAAAGCTGGGAAAAAATTAAAATAGCCCCAGGGCCTTCAAAATTTTTAAATGTAAAAATTACAATTACACTTATAAACCCTTGCTGTGTTAATTGACATATTTTTTCAAAGCAAAAAAAAAAAGTGAGACGTGATATCGTTTTCCGTTTTTGCAGATTTCTTTAATACCTGGCTTAGCAGAAGACAGCCAGACTCTCACATCTCATATCTGCTTCTGCACTGAATCTTTGCCATATGTTGTTTTGGTTGAATTGTATGAAGAGAATCTCGTCTCACACAGATGTGTAGTTGGAAGGTATAGAAGCATTTTAAAAGCTTTTCAGACAGTTGTGGATACTCTTCTTGGCTACAAGACCAAAACCCACATGGTAATTTCCCAAAGGCTGGTTGTGCTGTGGACTCTGAAATGATATCAATGAATATTTTGTACTCTAGCACGTTAAAATCCATTGGTCTGTCCTGCACACTGCATGCACTTTTCCCACACATGACTTTGTAATATCGTGTCATGGCCATGTGGAAAATACTCATTCACTGAGTTATGCTGACCTTTCAAATGGTGACTTGTTTCATCATATAAATTTTAAAAAATTACATTTTAAAATATCAATACTGAGCTCAAAAGCAAGTCTACTTTTGGAGAAGTTGTCAAGCTTACGATGGCAAATATAAGTTTTCAGAAATTCTGATTTTCACTTGAGAGGTTGAATGTTATCATTGGCAACAAATACTGTCAGTTATTTCCCTGCAAGTGACAGGCTTACTTTGTTCCATTTTGAAAAAACATCTGCCAAATACGTGAGTGGGTAACTATAGTGCCTCCTGCCATGGGGCTTTGGGGACCACAGAGTAAGCTGGGAAGTCAGTTAAGGTGTCACTTGAGTGCAGGGACCAGAAAGGTCACCCCCAGGGTGAGCCCCCACCCCCACCGTGGCTTCCAAGGGCCTCTAATGAGGCACAGACACCCTCTAGTCTAACCCTGTCCACTTTGAGCTTTGTAGACAGAGCTTTTTGTTTTCCCTTGGCAATCTGCTTGCCTTCTGAAAAATTCCAAGCATGTCTTTGCGGCTCCTGTTCAGGGATCAGGGCGTCCTTCCTAGCTGAAGTGGGATCAGGCCAGCCTCACAAGCCCCAGGGAGGAGCCCCAGACAACAGCAGAAGGGAAAGGGCGGCTGCTACAGGCGTGATTCCCTCCCACACCCATCAGGAGGGGGAAATGGTGCAAAGGTAACTCCTGTAGCTCCTTCTGATAAGGAATCAGTTTACTTCAGTTTCGCCTCTGAAGGTCCAAAGGTGATGGCTCTTTGGTAAGTGAATTGCAGTCTGCTGTGAACACTTTTTCCAAGTGTGAAGGTAGAGGCTAGGTTGAGAAGATCCATCAAAGGAAGAACTATGTGGAATCAGATTCATGCCTCTGTATGCTGCTGTCACGTTGACATTGGTCAGTGTTTACCTCGCTGGCTGAGGACTTCAGCAACAACATATTTATGTGAAAATTCTTTCATACACACAATCACTGTTCTGTTTTCCCCTACCAGAGACCTTATGTGTGTGTGTGTGTGTGCACAGGCAGAAGTGTTATTCCTATTACAATGCATTTGCGTCCACATAGATATATGTATGCGTATCACATTTGTTTCTATGTGTCTTGTGTGTGTTTATCTGTTACATATATAAGCAGCAGCGGCAATGAAAATGATGTACTCTGGGACTAAAGAAGATGAGGTTAACAGTAAAAGTACATGGAGAGAGATCGTTTCCTTCTCTTCTTCCTGTACTCTGAAAATAATTTTGTGAACAGGCAATGTATGAACTTGGTAAAAAAAAAAATCATTCATGAGCATAAAGTAAAGTGAAAAATGTCTCCCATCCTCTGCCCCGGAAATGATTATTATTACCAGTTCTTATGTCTTCTTCAAGAGATATTCTATATATTTAAAAAAGAGTACAGACATACACATCCCCTTTAAAAAAAAAAGTGTTCTTTTAAACTAATGGAAGGTTAGAACAGGAAAATCACATAAGCTTCATTTCCAGCCCCTTGTGTGTAAGCGCAGACCCCAGCACACATATTTCTGTCTATGATTTACACATGTGTAGGTTTTATGTTGGCGGACAAATTCTTTGTTATAAGAAAACTTCTGGAACCTAGAAAACTGATTTCCTTTGCAGTTCATCTGGTGATTAATCTTCCTAAAAGCTTAAGACAAATAAAATTCCCATATCTGAGACCTTTGTGGTATCCCAGAGGCAGGTGAGAATCATTCCCGTGGAGTTGTCTTCACTTTCTGATATGTCATCAATTCTTAAGAGCAATCCAGTCAGGGTTTATTTAGTACAGCTCTCTGTTGATTTTATAACCAACTGCTGACTTCTTGGGACATAAAACTGGTTGATTTACAAGTAGTGAGTGAGCAAGGAATCCATAAATCGCATTCTATAATAAGAGAGTGTAGGTGAACTCACACATACACACACACACATATCTACCTTCAAAGGGAGAGTTGTAGGCATGTCCAGAAAATATATTCATTTTTAATTTGAGAATTGAGAACTCATTGGTAAGAGGCCCATAGTCAGTGACCTCAGAGAGCTCAGTTGTACCAGGTAGTATTTTAAAGTAGAGCAAGAGATTTTATTTCTTAAAAGGGAGACTCTGGGTCTCACTTTTGAAATGTTCAAATGAGTTTTTATGGTCTCTGGAGGGAAGAACTTTTTTTTTTTCTAAAATGTTTCACCAACCAAGCCAAAAATGCTGGCGGTTATCAGTTTTTTGATATTATTGAAACTCTTGAAACTACTATGCAACAGATATTTCTCAAACACTCAAAGATCTCTTTTTCTTTTCATGTCATCTTTTTTCCCCAGCACTGTGTTTAGAAAAATCTCTGATAATATGCTAAACGTAGAAAAAATAAGTTTCTAATTCCAGGGGAATCCTAGAGTTTCAGGGAACTGACAGAGAGGGAAATATAAAGTGAAATATCTTGAAAAACATTTTTTTTTGGAACGTGAAATTTAATAAATATAAATCTGCTACTGTGAATAGTTTGCCAACTGTCTGCCTGCCAAAACGTAGTATATTAGAGCTGGAAATGTAGGATGCATTTAGCAAAAAGCTTATTTCATTTGGATCCTGATTCAAACAAAGAGGTAAAAATGAAATAAAATAAATAGAGAAAATTGAGGAAGTTGAACACTTGACTAAATATTTGATGATGTTAGGAATTATTATAAATTTTGGAGGTGTAATAATGGTGTTGTATTTTATATAGTGTACATAGGGCTTCATATACTATTCTCTCTACTCTTGTATTGGTTTGAAATTTTTCATAATTAAAAAAAAAAGAGCTAAGTTGAACTAGAGTGGTTGTTTGTAATCTCTTTGAAAAGTTCTTCGTTTATTCATTTCACACCTGTTATTCAACAGGAACCAAGCGTCAGTTATATAGAAGGCTCTGCATGAGGCCTTGGTGACGGCCAAGTGGTGTGAGCTGCAGGCTCTGCAGAAGTACCTGGTGTGGCAGGCGGGGACACTGCTGGGAACTCGGCCACACCCACCTCTCTTCTCTTGGTTGGTAAGAGGGCACCTGCACGCTTCTGTCTGGGGTGGAACACCAGCTGCCCAGAGGTGTGGGACTTCAGCTCGGCCCTGCTCCACTGACCTAAGAGTCAACAAGGCTGATGAGGAGCCCCAGAGGTCAGAAGCTGAAAACAGACACCCAAGGCCAGCTCGTCACAAACAAGAGGTTTATTTTTACACCATACACCCCACCCCACCCCTCCAAAAAAAAGTGGAGAGAGCATTTAAAGGGCTGTTTTGGAGCAGAGCCTCTTGGTGCATCTGAAACTTAGACCTGTGCCTGGCTCAACGGAGCAAAAGGGAAGACGACTGTCATCTCCGCAGGGTACCTACCTCCCAGGGCCTGCAGGAGGGAGTGGACGAGAGCCACACCGCACAAGAGGAGAAAGGAGTGTAAGGGCTTTGTGAGAGCTTCTTCCCCTTGGTTCTTGGGCCTCCTTTCCTGGGCTTGAATGCCCCATCAAGGCCATCAGCTGTCATCAGTGTCTCCAGCCAAAAGGCCCAGCCCAAATCGGCTCCCGAGAGATGTTAACATTAAGTTCTTAAGAAATCTGTCTCCTTTAACAAGACCTTGTAGCTTTATTTTGAATTATGTGTAGAGCCCAGACACAGCACCCCAGCAAAGACTATGGGTAGAGGAGATGGATGTCTCCTGGTACTCTGGTCACTGAGATCTGGACTTCACCAGCAAGGTCAATATCACAGCCTATGAGCCTCTGGTTTGTCCTAACTAGCAAGTGTTCAGACTCTAATCACAGCTTCCTCCTCATTAAAATATTTCAGTGGCTTTCCAATTGCTCTGCAGACACAGAATAAGATGTTTGACAATGCCCCATGGGTCCTGGCCTGGACACTGGACCTTTGAGCATGTGCTGAAAGCCAGGGCCGCATTCCACACCAGTAATCTCAGGGTGGTAGCACAGCCAGGACCAGAGAGACCCCAATTCACTATCCCCACATCACAGTTCTCTATTCAGCCCTGAAAAGAGACTGAGAGAGAGAATGATAAAAGGCAAGTACCCAGACAACAGATCTGAAACTCTGCCAGGAGTATGTCCTCGCTGGTCCAAGAGACCAGCAAAGACCTGGCGTCAGAGTCCAGGGGCCACTCAGTGGGCTCCCCGTCATGTTGGCCCCTGCAACCCCCAAGTGAAGAGAGAAGGAGAGAATGGTGGGGTTGTCTCAAAGCCAGAGAGCTGGTGGATATGATTTCCCGGGTACTAGAAGGCAGCTCCAAGGGCTATAGCAGCAGTGGAATAAAAAGGTTTACACAGCCTGCCAGGTGCGTCCTAACCCCGCCTCCCACTCTGGGATCTTGCCAGGCCTCCCATCCTCCTCTTTGTCTAGCACCAGCTACTGGTCCTTTAGCTCCCAGCACAGTCCTCAGAGGTTCAGAGAGTCCAGTGGCACGGCTGTCCATGTAACAGTGCTCCTGGGGTAGAGCAGGGTAGCGGCCCTGACTTCAGCTTCCCAAGTAAGCCCTGGTGACCCTCCAACTAGTCCAAATCCCTCTTCTGGCTCCAGGATCCCTCTTGGGTATCTGGGAATAAGTGGTCAGTATCTGTCTCCCTCTCTAGACCAGAAGCTCCACCAGGGCAGCCATATCTGCTCTTCTGTGGGTTTGGTTCTTCACTGTTATGTCTGCACTCGATGCCCCAGGTCTTGACACAGAGGAGATGCTCGATAAATCAGTGCTGAGTTCCTATTTTCTGAGCTCCACCTCCCACGTTGAGCTGTCAGCTCTGATGCACAGTCTTCAGAAGCATAAATTACCTCTATGTTAGCACTTTTTCTTTGTTTTGGAATGGACAGTTGGTGCTGAATGACTCTGCCTCCTGGAGCTAAAACCCCCCAAGGCCCCTTCCCTGCATATCAGACTCCAGGCATCGCTGAGACTAACTGGCTGTCCTAGCCTCCCATCTTCACTCTCGAATGTCCTTTTCTGACATCTCTTTCCCTTTTGAGCCACTCTTGATGCTCACTGGAACGCAAATCCTGGAATATAAAGTTGTGTGGTGGGTGAGGATGAGGCAGGAAGTGGGTGAGGGAGGCAGGTGTGCAGCCACTGCTGGTGGGCATGCCACTGTGATGCTCTACCTCGTCCCTGTCACCAGACTTCCTCCCCAAAACTGATGGGCCTCAGCCAGGAAGCTGGCATTTCATGAATACATTGAGTATAAAGCTACTTTCCATAAACTGAATCATATTTTTCAATCACCTCCTATCGTTGAAACCTGAAAATGAATTCTCATGTAAAGAAATTTTGTCCTTAAGGTATAATACAGATCAAAATAATATGCCAAGCTAATTTTAATCATATGCTTGAAAAACTAGTTATTTCTGATAAAAATTGCTAAAAATCACTCCATATACATACACACTACCAAAACTTTAAAGGATTGCTAAATCCCATTTTCCTTTGAGATGAGCCACCAATTGAATAGCCTTACTTTTGCAGCCTAGGGGAAATATTTCCTTTCAAACCCCCATGGTTTTACCTGTCTCTCCTAAAATCTGTGAGTCTGTTCTGGTTATTTAGTCCAGATTCAGGGAGATTAAGGGCACCAAAATTTTTTTATAAAGAAGGTGAACTTATCTTTATGATAAAGACTGTTTCCATGATTTGTGATTTTCCATGGCAGCTCTATTCTAATTCAACAGATCTCATCTGTGGGCGCATAGGGAAGTGCCTGTGTTCTGTTGGCCACTGGGCCCACTCAGTTCATGTCCTGCACCAGCCCCGTCCTGGAGTGGCCACCTCGAGCCTCAGCCTTGCTGAAGAGAACGTCAGCAGCCAACTGTCGCTGTGACTCAGTGATAATGTAAGGACTTATTGACAGTTGTCCTATTACTATTTATTTTGTATGTTTTACCTAGCTATCTAATACTATTCTAATAGGAGACGCTATTTTATTTTATTCCATTTTATTTATTTATTTATTTGCAGCCTTTAAGATACCCAGAGTCCTCCAGGGACACCGGATGGCAAGTTCTTTTAAATATGCAAATCCCTTTGGGGGCTGGGAACAGGCACTGGGAAACCTCAGGTTGACTCTTTTTTCCGTTCCCTGCTTCCTTCCCACCCCCCACCTCTCACCACAGTGGAAACTCCCAAAGTCACAGCAGTAGTCATTTTTCCCTTGGCTGCTGGAGTTCCAATTAAGACACTAGTGCCTTCTAGTGGGAAAGGGATGGGTGGTAGATAAACAGGTGAAATTCCTGATCCTGAACCACATGCAGGGGATTTCTAGCTCTACCGGAAGGGAATTTCCCCACCCCAGCCTAATTCTTCCCAGTCAGAGAGATTCTACCTCCCACTTCCCCTTTCCCTGGCCCAAATGGTATCTGCCAGGCTGCCTGGGCTGCTCTGCTGTCTAACGTCTGAAGGTCATAGCACAGAACACTTTAGTGTCAGCAACAATACTAAAAGGCTATTCCCTTGGCCTCATAGTCTCTAGCGAGGGACGGAGCATACTTCCTCGTAGGGAGGAGGAGAGAAGCAAGCAGAGTCCTCATCTCCCAGCCGTGTCTCTTCCAACTGCTCAGCATCAGGGCTGGACCTGAAATGGGGGCAGAAAGCACAGATTCGTTACAGCCCACAGCACCACTCTCAGAACCAATGCCACCATTCTGGCAATGGGCCACACAGAGATTTGCCTTCTCTCATCACCTTCCTTCCAGACCAAACACAGCCATAGACTGTGACTGCGACAGCTAGAAGGGGAATGTCCCCTCTGCAAACTCCATACCTGTCATTTCCACTATCCACAAAGGAAGGGTAGTCCTGGTCGTCAACAAAGGCAGCATTCTCTGGAGGATAGATGGTGTAGTACTGAGGAGGGCTTGGCATGGCGGCTGCCAACCCTCCAGACTGTAGGAGACCACACGGGTTCACCACTGGCTGTAGGTAGGTGCTGTTCATCCCAATGGGCTCTTGAGAGCCATAAGGAGGAGGGATATACTGCACCACAGTGGCCCCATGGAAGGTGATGGGTTGGTTGATACCAGTGAAAACGAACGATTGTCCTCCTGCCGTCTGCTCCGAGTCCAGGACCCTTTCCTCATTTTCTTTGCACAACTGGCAGGAGAGCATTTTGAACTTGCACACGGCAATCAGGATGAACGTCACCCCCACCGACAGCAGGATAGGCCCAAGGAGCTGGGTCCATTCAAAGTGGGAGACTCCTTGGTATTTGATCCAGCCCATGATGGTGAACGTGATCCCCACCAGTCCCAGGAAAATGCCTGAGAAGAGCAAGGTGGCCCCTGCCTTGTCGTCGTCCGACACCTGGATGTCAGCGGTACTGGGTGTGTAAGGAGTGACCGAAAACACATTAAGAGGGAAGTCCTCCAAGCGGGTGCAGCCCTGCTCCATCGTCCTCATGCTTCTCGAGGGAAAAGGGAGTGTGAGAGCTCCTGAGAGCAGAGCAAAGGAATCACAGGTCCAGGTTAGTTATGGAAGAACTTTGGGCTTCCGTGGTTAACAGAGTATAACATGCAGAGGTCTGAACTTTGTTTAGAAGAATAAAGGTCTGGGAAATGAAGCCTGAAGTTTTCTCATGTTGTCAATAATTGGACACCTCAGATTTGCAATTCAATGACAAGCACTATCTCATCCACATTCATTCATTCAGCTCCTTCAAAACCCCATCTTCTGTGTTAGGAGGCACTTATCTAGATGCTTTAGACACTGTTCTAAGGCTGTATGCAGCCTACCAAAATCAAGACTGGGGAAAGGCAGAGGACCTCCAGGGCCTCTGGTGGTGCAGGGGCCCTTGATATGTCCACCACACGCTCAAGAATCTAACCCAGCTTTCCTGCAGGGCAGCCGACTAGAAATAGGCAGATACCTGTTTCATGACTGTCTGTGTTTTCCTTCGCACCTCAGGCATCTCTAGTTGTGATGACACTTAAACTTTCGTAGGAACTCTCGCAAAGCTCTGAGGTCCTGTTCTTTCCTGACCAGCTTCAAGGGCCCTTGCTTTGAACATCTGGGGAATAATGCCAGCTGTAGGAGAGGAAGGACAGCCTAGGAAGCCTCTCCATGCACCACACCATTGGCAGAGCATAAAGTCTGACCTGAGGTCTCAGGGACACGTACTTCAGACCCTTGCGCAGTGGTGAGAGTGCAGTCCCTGGTTTCCGAAGTGAAGCAAGCAGCTGCATTTTCGAGCCTGCTGTGTTTTGCAACCAAACCCAAGCTGATTTAGAGAAGAAAACTTGCCCTTCAATGTCATTAGCTGTCATTCGTAATTACAGAACTTCAGAACAGCCCCATGAAGTGCCTCCTCCACAGGATAGTCACTGTAGCCCTCTTTCTTTCCTAGACAGATTTTCTCCAAACAGGTGTCTCTCCACAAGTGGTTATTGTATCAGCTCCCTTTTGCAGGCGTGAGCTCAAGGTCTAGGAAAAGAGTTGCCCTCTTGCCCTAAGGCAGGGCTTCCCAAACTTCCCTGATGATAAAAATCATCTGGGGCATTTTTTTTTTAAATGGCAAAATCTGAGTTCCCAACTCATCTCAACAGAACCAAAATTTCCAAGGGAGAGTAAGTGCCCAGGTGTCTCTTATCGTCAGAAATCTTTGGGAATTCTCCTCCAAGTTAATCCCAAATGCTTCTGGGAGACCAGGGGACTTTCTTCTCCTCCAAAATGCCTCTCCTTGCTACAGGACAAGACTTGTGATCTTCAACTTCACTGCCAAACAGATGGGAAAGCAAGCAGGTGACCCCTCAGGTATCTCCCTGTGTGTGTCCTGGAGCTGCAAGGTTGGAGTGGTCTTGCAGTAGGATTGGTCTGCCCCTTTCCCCACGGAGCCAGACCAGATATCCAGGGGAGCCAGCTTTTCTCTTTAACTGTAAAAACTCTAAATCAACTGGCCTGACATTCTTTTCAGGCTCTCAACCCCTGAGTTAACAGTTAAAACAGTCCCTGGCATTTAGAAAAACCTAGGCTCTCAAAATGATTCTTCTAAATCACTCAGTTTATGCTTCCCATAAACTGTCTTCAGCTACACTCACTTGCAATTAAGAAAACAACCGGGAACACTGAAAAGCAGGGGAGAGAGATCACCTTCGTGTCAACAGCCCATGAGTGCAAAACTGGAATGGCTTTCAGGGAAGACTGGTCAGGAAATGCTAAGTTATAATTTCTTTTTATTTTATGTATTTTTTATTTAGCTATAGTTGATTTACAATATTATGTTAGTGTCAGGTGTACAACAAAGTGATTCAAAATTTTATAGATTATACTCCATTTAAAATCATTATAAGATACCGGCTAGATTCCCTGTCCTATACAGTGTACCCTTGTAGCTCATTTACTTTATGCCTAGTAGTTCAGACCTCTTAATCCTCTACCCTGTCTTGCCCCCCCCCTCCTGGTAACCATTAGTTTGATCTCTCTGTGATTCTGTTTCTGTTTTGTTATATTCATTTGTTTTATTTTTTAGATTCCACATATAAGTGGTAACATACAGTACTTATCATTGTCTATCTGACTTATTTCTCCAAGCATAATACCCTCCAAGTCCATCCATGCTGTTGCAAAAGACAAAATTTCATTCTTTTTAATGGCTGAGTAATATTCCACTGTGTATGTAAATATATATTGGCAATTATAAATAATGCTGCTGTGAACATTGGGGTACATGTATCTTTTTGAATTAGTGTTTTTGGTTTTTTCAGATTTATACCTAGGAGTGGAATTTCTGGATCAAATGGTAGTTCTGTTTTTAGTTTTTTGAGAAACCTCCCTACTGTTTTCCATAATGGCTGTATCAATTTATCTTCCAACCAACAGTGTACAAGAGTTCTTTATTCTCCACATCTTTGCCAACATTTGTTATCTGTGTTCTTTTTGATGATAACCATTCTGACAGGTGTGAGGCAATATCTCATTCTGATTTTGATTTGCATTTCTCTGATGGTTATCGATGTTGAGCATTTTTTCATGTGCCTGTTGGCCATGTGACCTTTTGAAAAATGTCTATTCAGGTCTTCTACCCTTTTAAAAAGTGAGTTTTTTGTTTTTTGATATTGAGTCATATAAGCTGTTTATATATTTTGGATATTAATCCCTTATCAGTCATATCATTTGCAAATATTTCCTCCCATGCAGTATGTTGTCTTTTTGTTTTGTTGATGGTTTCCTTTGCTGTGCAAAAGCTTTTAAGTTTAACTAGGTCCCATTTGTTTGTTTTTATTTTTGTTTTTGTTTCCTTTGCCTTAGGAGACAGATTAAAAAAATACTGCTGTGATTTATGTCAAAGAGTGTTTTGCCTAGGTTTCCTTCTAGGAGCTTTATTAAGGTTTCTAGTCTTACATTTAGATCTTTGGTCTATTTTGAGTTTGTTTTTGTTTATGACATGAGGGAGTGTTCTAACTTCATTGATTTACATGTGGCTGTTCAGTTTTCTCAACACCACTTATTGAAGAGACTGTCTTTTCTCCATTGTATATTTTTGCCTCCTTTGTCATAAATTAATAGACCATAAGTGTGTATTGTTTATTTCTGTGCCCTTTATTCTGTTCCATTGATCTATGTGTCTGTTTTTGTGCCAGTATTGCAGTGTTTTGATTTTTGTAATTTTGTAGTATAGTCTGAAGTTAGGGAGCATGATGCCTTCACCTCTGTACTTCTTTCTCAAGATTGCTTTGGTTATTCGGGGTCTTTTGTGCTACCATACAAGTTTTAAAATTATTTGTCCTAGATCTGTGAAAAATGCCATTGGTATTTTGATAGGGATTGAATTGAATATGTAGATTTCCTTGAGTAGTGTTGTCACTTTAACAATATTAATTTTTCCAATCCATGGACACATAATATTTTTCTGTTTGTGTTGTCTTCAGTTTATTTCATCAGTGTCTCATACTTTTCTGAGTACAGATCTTTCACCTCCTTAGTTAGATTTATTTCTAGGTACTTTATTCTTTTTGATGCAATTGTAAATCCTAATTTTCTCTTTCTGTAAGTTTGTTGTTGGTATATAGAAATGCAACAGATTTCTGTATATTGATTTTTGTGTCCTGCAACTTTACCAAATTCATTGATGAGCTCTGATAGTTTTTTTGGTGGTGTCTTTAGGATTTTCTATGCATAATATGTCATCTGCAAAGTGTGACAGTTCTACTTCTTCCTTTTGAATTTGGATTCCTTTTATTTCTTTTTCTTAACTGCTTTCTATGGCTAGAACTGCCAATGTTATGTTGAATATAAGTGGCGAGAGTGGGCATCCTTGTCTTGTTCCCGATCTTACAGGAAATGCTTTCGGCTTTTCACTGTTGAGTACGATATTAGCTGTGGCCTTACATGTTGAGATATGTTCCCTCTACCTATTTCATGGAGTTTTTATCAACTGGAGGATAAATTTTATCAAAAGGTTTTTCTGCATCTATTGAGATGATCGTAATATTTTTATATTACAATTTGTTAATGTGATGTATCACATTGATTGATTTGCGGGTGTTGAAAAATCCTTGCAGCCCTGGGATAAATCTCATTTGATCAGGGTGTATGATACTCTTAACGTATTGTTGGATTCAGTTTGCTAATATTTTGTTGAAAATATTTACATGTATGTTCATTAGCGATATTGGCCTTTAATTTCCTTTTATTTTGTGATATCTTTGGTATCAGAGTGATGCTGGTCTCGCAGAATAAGTTTAGACACACCTCATCTGCAAACTTTTGGGATAGTTTGAGAAGTAAAGCTGTTAATTCTTTTCTAAATGTTTGGTAGAAATCACCTATGAAGCCATCCGGTCCTGGACTTCTGTTTTGGGGGAGGTATTTTTTTATTATTACTGATTCAAATTAATCTCAGTCTCTCATTGATCATTCAAATATGGCTTTTTAGCACATTAAAATGTATGTTTTGTTATGAGCACTCTTTTCAGTTTGGTTGCCTCTTTCGACCTAAATTTTTTTCAGCCACATCTGAAGTATAGCGCCACCTTCTTTTGAAGCACTCATGACACTGATCTTGCAGGACATTTCACGTGGTGTTTTATTGCTGGTTTGACTGCAGTTTTTAATTAGGATGGACTTTGCTTCTTATTAACCCTTTGTATCTATGCTTCCAGACTTTTTTTTCTTACAAGTTTACATATTTCATAGAACTGGAATCACCTGGAACTTCGTTATTCTTCAACTCTCTTTTGACCTAATAGCTCATATCATCTTTCCCAAATCCATACAACTTATTTTTTAATATTCTGACAAAGATAATTGTTTGATGCAATTATAGCTGGGAGTTTCTTAAGAGATATCAAGGTATCAAATAGAAATCAAGGATTAAGTTCATTTTTTTTGCAACAATAATAAAATTTATAATCTGAATAAGAATCCAGGGTAAACAAATTTTAAACTTTGGTAATGCATTCTTGAGGCAAGAGTGTAAGAAAACAGTCAACTTTAAATCTGATCGGTGACAGTATAACTTGATACAACTTCTTTTT